CGAAAAGTTTTACATATGAAATTATGGTCAAATGCCATAAGTTGAAATTTTTATTTTTTATTTCTGTAAACTTGATTTCTCGCCTTCATGGCATCTGCTTGCTTCTCAGCGACTTCCAGAAATTTTTTCTGGACATCGCTCTCTTCCTCCGCCCGCTTCCTCTTCAAAGCCCTACGCGGTGTTTGCGCAGGAGTTTTAGGTGTGCTGACCTGCACCTCGCTGTCTTCTCCAAACACTGACGCCTGCGTCACCGCATGGAAGACAATATCCTCCCCATCCTCCATGACCAATTGAAGCTCCTAATAGTTTAAAAGTAAATTAAAAAAGTATTAAATAATAATAGAATAATAGGAACCGCTTCGTGACCCTCGATGTAGTTGATCCCAATCAGATCAATTACCCGCCTCTCCATCTCCGTTAAAGGCGGCTGGTCGATGGGCCTGTTGCCTGTTAGAGCCTGCTGCCTCTTCCGGTCACGTACACGTACGCTTGTACGGCTTTTTAAGTCGCGCCAGACCTGTTTGCAAAGTAATGAAATACATAGTTAACAAATATGTAGTATATAAAGCATTGCAGCATATTTATGAATGATCAATAAAATAAAAGGTAAATTAATGTGCACAGGAAGCTCAAACAAAATTAAACAAAAGTCCCGGGGGAAATGTTAAGTTATTTGTACAACGATTTTGGGGTAGAGAGCGGAGGGGGAGTTGGCGTGGCCCTCCAAACCTCCCTTAAAAAAAAGAGGATGGACCGCACTTTATGAAAAGACACCTTGGGAGCTGATTGCAAAAATACCATATTTCAAACCTAAATTATAGATAAATTAATGCACAGCTATGGTAAACCTTTTGCTTAAATAAAGTGTATACTCTTGTCTATAAGTGTGTGTAAACGTTTTTTGGTTCGTCTCACACGTTTGGGCACAGCAACCCAAAGTCGTTGCACAAATAACTCAACCGTACCCAATATGTTAAAAATGAATTTGAAAACTAAAGATTACTTTTCCGAATCAACCAACAACCTGATTCTTCATTTGCACATTTTAATTAAAAAATTGTACTTCACGTATGTACATATATATTATACTAATTGTTTTTTTATCGCACTCTCGAAAACTGCTTCCTATATACACACACTTAAAACACAAGATAAGTACTTACCGAATGCCATTGATCCACTGACTTTACAGCTCCTCCTATAGCGTTGAGCTTCTGTGCCATTTCCGCCCACTTCTTCTGGTACTCCAGCTTTCCTTGGAGACGCTGGAACTTTCCGGACGCAAGCCCTTCGTTCTCCGTGAGAAGGTCGATCATCACGTTGAGCTGCTCCGCTGATGCCCGACTCCTTTTAGCTCCTGCTCCACTGGTAGACGCCATTCTGAAATTATAAGTAAGAACAAAGTAAATTCTTATACATATTAATTAAATAAATAGCAAAATGTACTCCCCTTTTCTGCAATATGTGGACGAAAATTAGCGGCGCGAAGAAATGGCTTTGTTTTTTTTCTCTTCCGCTTTGTGCTTTTCGCAAATTTGACATTTCGAACAGCGGAGATGCCACTTTTTATCAATTTGAATTAATGGAAAAAGTCAGCTGTTCACTGTCGTTAGGAATGAGTTAATGAATCGCATAATCGTTATTGACAACGATAAAAATCTTTAATTAACAACTCAACAAATGCATCGTTTAGAGTTACCAAATCGCACTACTGAATTTGCTCCACAGTGTTATTGTAGAGTGCACCTCACAATATCATACTTAAATATTGCGCAATACTCAGAGCTACCATTATGATTTTTTTCAATTTTTTTTAGATGACATAGTTTCAAAAACTAATTTTATTTATCAAAAAATTTGGTGAAGAATTTTTCAAGCAAAAAAATTAAAAAATATTTCTTCTCATGGAGAATTTTTATGCGTGTATGTGTGATTTTTTTCAAATTTTTTCCTCGCCCCGTTCTCGAGATATTTGAAAATCTATTAAATCGATTTGTTTTTGTTTTTGTGCTGTAATGTGTTTAAAAATGTATTAATCAAGCTCAAATTTCATATTTATTTATTATTTATGTTTGGTGACAGGTAACAAGATCAACAGAAATAAGGTCAATTGACTTTATTTCCCACCCTGGTGCGAAATAGGGTCAATTGACATTATTACCTTTTCAAAAGCGAAATAAAGTCAACAAAAATTTGGAAATAAAGTCATTGACGCTATTTCCTCATTCAAATGGAAAAAGCGTCAACAATGCTTAAAGTATGTCGATTCATAGAAAAAATGTTGTTCTTACAATAAACATTGCCCCGTAAGTGTTGTTTTTTAATAGATGAAAAAGGTTATTGGCTAATCCTGAGTATGGTGCTATTAATCCACACACAGTAATGAACTACCACCAATTGATTTTATTAAAAAATTTAAAATAAAGAATATAGTAAAAATACGATGCAAAAAACCAAACGACGAAACGTAGCTGGAGTACGAGAAATATTTGAAGAAAGAGTGTAGAAATGATCTAGAATTTGCAAAACATGTTTCGTTTCCACAAAAATAAAGCGAACACCATGAACGAACGAATAAAGATCACCCAGCACGGCGTGCGAGAAAAAAGTTATTTTTTTGCAGTGACGTCATGTTTTCGCCGCCATGTGAATAAAACGGAATGAAACCTGTGTGTGAATGAAAGAACCGATTAAAAAATGACGTCATCAACCATTATTTTTTTTCTCAAATGCAATTACAAATACACGGTTGCCGTGCTGGGCGATCTTGTTAGTTGGTTAATAGCGAACACTATTAAACTGAAGAAACATTCCATGGCCAAAAACCCCGGAGGAACACTGAAAGAATTCTGTGTTTTAAATTAGCATATTTTGAACGAATTCGGAATGTCTAAGGTGGAAAAGAAACCAACCTTTCTATAAGGAAACAATTATAGACAAGGAATTTTCTTACCCTGTATTCATGTCTCCGCCAGCAATTTGTGACACCATTTAAAAGCAGCTAAGGAGAACGACGACACTATTTATTAGAAAGCNTGTCTAAGGTGGAAAAGAAACCAACCTTTCTATAAGGAAACAATTATAGACAAGGAATTTTCTTACCCTGTATTCATGTCTCCGCCAGCAATTTGTGACACCATTTAAAAGCAGCTAAGGAGAACGACGACACTATTTATTAGAAAGCACATTCAAGCAAATGTGCCAAAATGCGGGTATAAACAATTATTGATTATGTAATATCGGAAGCGAGATCATGTAAGTTAATTGATTGGTTTTCACACACTTTTGAAACACAAATTATATGCTTTTTTACTGCAGACAAGTTGTTGCCAAAACAGCAGAAATCTTCGAATAACCTAAAAATATAAAAATGTGAAATATCGAGGGCTTAGCGTGACGTGGTGTGGCGCGCGGAAAATTTTTGGGTATGCAGTTTTATAGCCCATACAATAGGCAAATTGGTTCTTATTCAGTGGTCGTTCCGCTTGGTTGACTTCTCTGATATGTTGATCCAAGATTTTCTCCATGCCTTTTAGGAGAAAGGAGCTGAGGCTAATTGGTCTGTAGGATGAAGGCATTTGCTCCGGTTTACCTGCCTTCGGTAAAAATACCANATACCGCAACGAGATCTGCCGTAATGAACTGTGAAAGAGGGAGAAACGTTATTTTGTTACATAATAGCATCGCCGCTCTTGGGCGACAGCTGGCGGCATAGATGATCTTACCGTCCTTTATATTAAGGCCTTTGACGTCACCTCTTAATATCCAGGGTTCCTGGATGAAGGCTACACCTAAGCCTTCGTTTGTGAACCTCCTATGTAAAACATCTGATGCTGCTTTCGCGTGGTGAAGGTTCACTTGGAGGCATTTAATGTGCCTCAGATTTGTAGAGTTTTTGGGGTGAGGTGCCATTACTTGCGGTCTTTTCGGCCGCGAGCAGCCACCTTCTTCCCCCTGTTGCCCTTCAGCAAGACCGCTTCTTCGGCCGTCCTTGCATCTCCCTTGCCTTTGCGGCTGGACATAGCCGCTTTGGAGCTGCCATGTAGTGGTGGCCGTTTTGCAGGCTTTGGGGATGCGATGGGTCCAACGCTTTTTTGGGCTTCTTCCAGCACCTGTTGTAGGGTCGGGCATGTTGTTGTTGCTGTTTTCGGAGGCGTTGTCGGAGCTTTGTATGCTACGTGTAGCTCTGTGCCAACCTCCGATGACTTCTGCTGCACTTGCGTGTCATTGGGTAGCTGCCTGGGAGCTACGATGACGTCTTTGGAGCAGCAAGGTTGCTCCTCCGAGTTAGGGTATTCGGTGTCGGCGGCATCTTTAGAAATTGATAAATCGGGTACCGATATACACATATGTGCCACGCCCATTTTCCAAAAATTTCGCTAAAAATCATTTTCTGCTAAGAGGTCATTGCATATATTGATTTTGAGTAAATTAGCTTAAAGAGTTACTAATTTATCGCAGTTTTCGTGTTTCTGTAAATTACCGTTATATGGGAGGTGGGCGTGGTTCTTGTCTGATTTAATCAACGAGTTTCTTAGTGAGGCCCTAAGCAATGTTCTCACCGAGTTTGGTAGGGATTGGTAAAGGGACTACAGAGATACAGGATTTAACCATAAGTGGGCGGGGCCACGCCCATTTTCCAAAAATTTTATAACTGTCCTATTTCATGCCAAAATTCTATTTCAAATACCAACTTTCAAAAATTTCGATCCAATATTTGCGGAAATATCTTAGTTTTTACATATTTCGAAAATACCGTTATATGGGAGGTGGGCGTGGTTATTGCTCGATTTCGCCCATATTCAATCCCAATGTACCTTGAATAAACGGCAACCTACTTACCAAATTTCGTTGACATATCTCAATTATTGCTCGAGTTACGGACAGACGGACAGATTTGGCTTAATCGATTTCTCTTTTCATTCTGAGCATTTATGTATACATTTGCTTATATATATCTCGATTCGTTTTAGCTCTTACAAACAACCGTAATACGAACAAAGTTATAATATCCTTGTGCACAAGTGCGCACGGGTATAAATAAATACGAATTTGAGGATAAATAAGTAAAGTGGTAATTTTTCGTAGTGGCTGCTCTAAATGCAATGTAAAATGTTTAAGATAATACATAATATGTATGACTTNTTGGTAAAGGGACTACAGAGATACAGGATTTAACCATAAGTGGGCGGGGCCACGCCCATTTTCCAAAAATTTTATAACTGTCCTATTTCATGCCAAAATTCTATTTCAAATACCAACTTTCAAAAATTTCGATCCAATATTTGCGGAAATATCTTAGTTTTTACATATTTCGAAAATACCGTTATATGGGAGGTGGGCGTGGTTATTGCTCGATTTCGCCCATATTCAATCCCAATGTACCTTGAATAAACGGCAACCTACTTACCAAATTTCGTTGACATATCTCAATTATTGCTCGAGTTACGGACAGACGGACAGATTTGGCTTAATCGATTTCTCTTTTCATTCTGAGCATTTATGTATACATTTGCTTATATATATCTCGATTCGTTTTAGCTCTTACAAACAACCGTAATACGAACAAAGTTATAATATCCTTGTGCACAAGTGCGCACGGGTATAAATAAATACGAATTTGAGGATAAATAAGTAAAGTGGTAATTTTTCGTAGTGGCTGCTCTAAATGCAATGTAAAATGTTTAAGATAATACATAATATGTATGACTTTTTTTAACCGACTTCAAAAAAAAGGA